AGGCAATCTCACCTAGAGGAAGCCACGACCATAAGTCAGAACAGGGAAGATGGCCGCGGGTCGTGTTCGTCACCCGATGCGGAGTTTGCGAACAGAAGCAAACTTTTGTGAATGCTGCTGTTCGTGAACCGAATTGTTTATGAACAGAAGCGTTCGTGAACCGAGGTATTACTGTACCTGTAATTACTTGGAGGAAATATTCATGTGATAGAATATATTGTATTCACTAATGTAATATAGTTACATTTCACTATGCAGTGTATAATTTGTTACTTTTCTATATTGGTTTTCTATTTACTTGCTCAGAGTTACATTTTTTTTTTGTTAAATCTATATGTGAATATTATTTATTAGATAAAAGTGGAAATCAATGAAGGAATTGATGTTGCAAAAAAACCAAGACTAGAAAAGCCAGAAGCTCATCCCTCATCAATCACAGTGCAAACAAGCAAAGATTTGGCCATGGCAGACCTTTCTAGTTTTGAAGAAACTAGTGCTGATGATTTTGCAATGGAGATGGGTTTGGCTTGTGTTGTTTGCAGGTGAGTTGTTTAAAATTTAGTAGTTATAGCACATACAAATATTTGTATCTGTTGTAAATGGAATCTTTTGTTTAAACAGAAGCCTTGACTCCTAATTCTCATAATTCGTGAGATCAAAATACTTCTGATTTCTCATACATTATGTGTACCTAAAGCTGTACTTCTCTGTTGGAAGATGTTTACATACCATGGCAGTGAGATTACAGTATAAATACAAAATTCATAGAATCATCATTGGATGGAACCACATAAGGCCACTGAGTCCAAACCCAGGGAGGCACAGGAATCCAGATTAAAGCACTCCTCACATCTGTCATCTAGTCTTTGCTTTAACACATCCAATAAAGAAAGTCCCACAACTTTCTGAGTTATCAATTTTTAGTATCGAACTACTTTACCTGTTGATAGTTTTTTCTATGAAACATTTTGTGTCAGTATTTAGATTTACAGAGTTATCCCAAGCATAATGCTGTCCCTACAAATTAATGGATTAGAAGAAAAAAAAAATCTGTTCAGTTCTCATGTGTTTCAAATACTAAAAAAACCCAATAACCCTGTAAGTTAACCACATCTAATTACAGTGTGATTTTTTGCATTTCAAAGACTCAGCCTTCAGACTTCTATTTGTTGGATTCAGAATAAGTGCTATTGAAAAACTATAACTCTGGGACCAGCTTGTGCATAAACGATAGTTGCATTTAACTAAGAGTATGAAACCAGCAGCAACAGAATAAAAGTTAAGGATCTGTTGTCCAAAATAAATCTTTTTAAACCACTGTCCAACTTTCAAATGTAGTATATGCTGTGTGCAGTTTTCATGTGGTAGTTTAATCTGGAAATAACACATTATTGAGCCAGTGGGCTTTGCATTGCCACAAATCCTCTTTGTATTTATGTAATATAATTAAAAACTTTTATTTAAAAAGTCAGACAGGAAGCCTAGAAGGTACTGGGGTGGTAGGCATAATCTTTCAGTCTACCAAAAGATAGGGATTAAAGATAGAAATGTTTCTAAATCATAACTTGTATTTTAATCTGCCTTCAGGATTATGACCATTTTAACTATTTCCATTTCAACAGCAGCTTTAAAAATGGCTTTGAAAGATTTTGTTTATGTTCCATTTGTTTTTTAATTTTTTAACAATATTATATATGCAACAATATATATGAAATTGTTCCTATCTATTATGTTATTGGCAAATATTCACTCTTTCTGGTTCAAATTAATTTTGAGAAATCTTCAGCTTCTATTTTGAATCTTAGATCTAAGGACAATTACTAGGGAATCAAAGCTGCTTACTCCTGAGTAAAGCTACTTAGAATCACAAACTCTAGGATTTTTTTTGCCTTCATTTGGTTTTTATATCAGCAAAACGTTCCCAAAATCATCTAGATAATACCCTCACTCAACATTTTCCTATGGAATAAAAAAAAAATACCTACCCTTCTGCAAATAGTTTCCATGGTTACCTACGTACCTGTTCCACAGGGATACACACAAAAGCAACTTAGCAATTAAGTAACCTGATTTGTTATCTAAAAAAAATAGCCATTAGGGAAATGGTGTTTTGCTAACTTGAAGGCATAATTCCATTCATATATAGGTATCATATTGTAATTTATATGTTTCCAGTAGGATAAAATTTAATACATATGTTTTTCTTACTAATCTAGCACATCCTTATCTAACGCATCCTTACTCTCATGTTTATGCCTTAAAGGCTTAACTTTTCTTCTGATTCAGTTGGTAACTACCTTCTATTTCTGTTTGCTGCATAAGCTGAAGGGCGTGATTTTGTCAATGTCAGTTGTACAACATTTTAATGCTGTATTTGTGCTAAATTTCATATTGTTTAAATACATTAATGGGTGAACAGTTTTCTTACTTTGACTTCCTTAAACAAAATGATGCTAGATTTAACCATTTTCTTAGTAAATACTGTCTTGTTATGGTTCTGTGCGGTTTCTTCTGTAATACCAGGTGTAGATTTTTTGTTGTCCAAAAAAATCTGATTTTTCATAATTTAACATTTAGCATTCCCAATTAGATATATGCTGCAATTGAGATTCATTCTGCTTTAGTGCCTTTTGCTCTTTGAATTAATCAGGAATTGGAAGAGTGGCTATCTTGATTTTGTTGACCTTCAGTCATTGGGCATTCTGGCTGAGACTGCTAGAAAACCTTTTGCTTACAATTTTGCTGACAAGTTTGGTCTGTTTGTTTTTGTTCTGTTTTGCTGAGAACCTAAGATAGGGAGGGAAGAGCATATCTTTCCTCTTATCTACCAGGTAACCCTGTCTCATATGATATATTCCCATGCAGCTATCACATTTGCTTAGGATGAAGAAACCTATTCCCCAAAGGCATGGTATATTCTGGTAAAAGCTAAAATGTTGCTTTGGCCTATAAACATTAGATTATATGCCAACAGGTCATGCATAAACATTATGCCCATTGATAAACATCTGGTAGACCATTGGTTTAAAGAAGTGGGCCTGAGTTTGCTTGCAATTAGAAAGCATTAATTTGGCCTCCGCTACTCACCCTGTACACATCTGTCCACCTTGTCCAGTTTCACAGTGTTGTGATCTTGCAGCTATTCCCAATTCTGTTTCCAGGGCTCCATAGCATAACGATACGTGGAGACAAATTTGTAAAGAGATGATGTTTCGAGAGATTGTTTCAAGAAATGATGTTTAATCTGATTACTTTGTGTTTTATAGACAAATGACAGTGACTTCTGGAAATCCATTAGTGGAGTGCCAGGAATGTCATAACCTCTATCACCAAGACTGCCACAAGCCTCAAGTGACAGACAAGGAAATGAATGATCCACGTGTAGTGTGGTATTGTGCTAGATGTACCAGGCAAATTAAAAAAATGGTAACATTTTTTTCTATATCTGTGGGGAAATATTAATTTAAGGAAGAGATTTCTTAACTGACTAGAAAGAAGTACAGCTTCCTTTAATAACCAAGGTTGAGAGCTACAAGGTTCTTTTTTTCCTAATACTGTTTTATTGCAAAGTAAAAAATTCCTTAATAAATGTTTTGAAATGTGCTGTTTTGTTTTTTAGCTGCTCTTTTTTATTTTAATAGTTTAATATAGCCTTTACAAAAATAGTTATTGCAATAACTTTTTTTAAAAAAATAAAATGATAATTGCTCTGGAATAAATAATGTAGTTCAGTAAATCTGTATTAAATCTGATGCACTACTCTGTGCACTTAAACCTTGAATAATGATAATGATTTGTAAACCACTAATAAAAGAGTGACTTTAATTGGGTCAAGTTAAGAATCTTTAAATCCCATAACAGATGAAAGATTTTGTAATATTCCTTTTCCTGAGAACAGGGCTTTATTTTCATGTAAACTGTTGTTGATTTTTCCAAGTAGAAGAACTTGTTATACCTGTATTGGTAAAGTTCGGTTACAAGAAGAACCATTTTATTATTAGAAAAAATACAGAGTAACTTTTAAAAATCAAAGTACTGCGTGAGACTTTTTCGAAGGAGAGATAAATTCTTGTACCTTCCATTTGGAATAATGTAACATAGAATATTATGTCTAATAAGTCCTAGTTTTTTTTAAAGCATAAAATAATTCCCCCTCCCCCACCTCCATGTTCTACCTGCTAATAAACTGTTGTTCAATTATGTAAATATTATAAGGTCTCAGGTAGGTGTTTCTGGAATGAATAGTTTCAAAACTAGTCATAGGTTCATATTCTGCTTTGTTTTTGTTTTTTGTCACACAGTGTCTTGATTGTTATGCAGTCAGAACCAGAAGTAAACTTAGTTGAATCTACGCTAAGCTTGCTTCCTAATTCCTCATGTTAGTTTTATCTGGCTAGAAGTATCCACCTTACAGAGTTCTTAATTTTCTTTTTTCATTCTCATTTTCTTTGCCATTCTGTCAAATTAATTGATGAAATTTTATCAATTGTTCAAATGTTTATTTCCATACATTGAAACTTAAATATATAAGTTAGATGTATAAATTAGAAACTGCCTAGTTATATGAAATATGGCGATGTATAAATATTGTAATAAATATCTGTTATAGCAATAGTGTTAATACATATCACTGAAATACCCTTAGGCCTTTATATCAGATCTCCTGCATGTCTGTTATTTATTTATTCATTCATTCATTCAATTTATATGACCACCCAACTCGCTCACGGTGTCTCCAGGTGGATAACAGAGTAAAAATCCCAAATACAAAACCCACTACATCCCCCGACCCCCCTGGCAATAACAATACATTTACACTAGCCACTTGATGGGCTCTAAGTTGACCTGGGATCCCCAGGCCTACTGGCAAAACCACGTCTTCAGGGCCTTGCCGAAGAGCATCAAGGTGGGGGCCAGTCTTATCTCTCCAGGGATGATGTTCCACAGGGAGGAAGCCACCATGGAAAGAGCCACCAAGGAGAAGACCCTTCTCAGTCCCACTAGATGGACCTCCTTAATAGGGGTGACCCGTAATATACCCTACTGTAGAGCGCATTACAGTAGTCAAGACATTCCTTTATTGTGATTTCTCAGTGTTTAGTAGAGAGCAGTGTTTAGTAGATAGCAGTGTTAAAGCAAAAAGCTATTTTTTTTTTCATTTTGATTTAACATTTTTCCATATATACAATCTATAATTTACACAGGCTCAGAAAACACAGAAGCCTTCCCAGAAGCCAGCTCCTGCTGTAGTGTCAGTAGCTCCGGCTGTGAAAGATCCACTAATAAAGAAACCAGAAATTAAGCTAAAGTTGGAGACTACACCAGCCTTCTTAGCATTTAAGAGGACAGAGGTCAAGGTGCTGTACATAGTGTTCTGTGAAATATTTATTAATTTATTGAATTTATATGTATGTATTTTTTTAAGTTTATTTTTGTTCTGTTTTTCTAATGGGGGGTATTTTGTTTTGGTAATATTCCTAACCTCATAGCATCATCCTCCACTTTCAGTTAGAATTCCACATTAAATATTTTTATTCTTAATTTTGCTCCATTTTGTTAGTCATTTTGAATAAATTACACAATTTAAATAGCACTATCAATTAAATATTCTATTTAATCAAAATTTGTATTTTATTTTAAAATTGGAATACTACAAGTTGTTTTCAGAAGAAATATCTACTTTTATTTATCTAGATTTAGTTAAGATATAAGAGTAATGTCTCTAAGATTATAATTGTTCTTTCTTTGCATTTATATTTAAGTGAGACAAATAGTAGGAAGTCTGTTTCTATGGGAAATTACCTTTTTTCTACCTAAAAATTATGTATAGTAAAATAATTATAACAATTTTAACAATAAAAATGTTAAAATGCTATGTTTGTCTTTTACCGCGATATTAGTTGCAGAATAAATGAAAGCAAGGGTTATCAAAGGAAATAACCAAAGAAGATTGTGCTAAAATTAATTGCTTATCCTATTGCTTCTCCGGGTTAGGAAATTTCTAGACAAATTCCAGGGCCACGGTGCTTAAGTTTCTTGAAAATTTGGAGATATCACTGGCCTTGACTATCAGTCACAAAAAATGCAGAACCAAAATTAACATGTATAACTTTAGGTAAAAAAGGTGATAATATTTTAAACCAATTAATATGCAGGATACATGGTTGAATCTTTCATAAGTTCTCTTATATTTTTAATGGATAAGAGAATTCTGAATCAATTTGGTAGGATTTTGCCCTTCTCTAGCAGAACCAAAAAGTAAAATCCATCATTTCATTTTTACTGTTGCCCTTTCACAAAACATTGCTTGCGCTTATGCCAATTGTGTTAATTTTAATGAGCAGCACAATTTGTGGTTGACCGTGTCCCAATGCTGGGCAAGCTTGAAACTTATACATGTACTATTAACATGCCCAGTACATCTAAATGCCTAAACTGCTATAATTTTTGCCCCAATAACTACGGGTTATGTTTCTGAGATCCACTGTTTATTTTCATGTTAAAAATAATTCTTGATAAAAACCTTGATTATGGATTCAGCTGGTTTTCTTACTTGAGAAATTCTGATGTTTCTGTTGTGTGGATGTGTGAGGATGGATCATTGTGCAACATTGTACAAATAAGAAAAAAGTTGAAAATATGGTGATGATTGGCCTGAAACATTAAAAATATTAATGTGCTTATTTTTGGATTCTGATGACATTAAATAAATATTAGAGTCTACTGAGTTTCCTCATCTAATGATGACAGGAAGATAAACTGGCCCTTTTGTTTTACATGCTGATCTCTGCTCAATTGCATAAAAGGTGACATTTGTTTCTGTTTTATTTTAGACTTCAGCAACAGTTTCAGGGAACTCAACCAGTGCTAGTGTTTCCTCCTCCTCAACCAGTGGCCTTACAGGATGGGCAGCTTTTGCAGCAAAAACATCTTCTGCAGGTCCCTCAACAGCCAAGATGGGATCTACGACCCAGAGTACCAGTGGCAAGCCCGTCACTGGCTCAAACAACCAGAAACCCACTGGTTTGTCAGGGCTGGCCACAGCCAAAGCAGGGCTAGGGTCAAAAATAACTTCTGCCAGTAGCACAAGCCCTGGCCAGTTGAAGCCATTGCCACCTCTGACCTTGGGAAAAATGGGTCTTTCTCGGTCTGTGAGCAGTGACAACGTAAGCAAAGTAGGGCTTCCTAATGCAAGCAGTTCAGCCCCAGGCAGCAGCCCAACTGTTGGTGGAAATGGCAGCAGTGTGGCCACAGGTAGCAGTGGGAGCAACAGTAGCAAATCAAGTGCAGAATCGGGCAATCAGTCTCCATCGCTGAAAGGTCCAACTTCACAAGAATCACAGCTCAATGCTATGAAAAGGCTACAGATGGTCAAGAAGAAAGCAGCTCAGAAGAAACTAAAAAAATAACAGATCTATTTGTTTAAAATAGCTAATTCTATCATTATTTTTTAGTCTGCAAGGTGCAAACATGTTTTTCAACTCTAGCTGAATACAGTAAAATCAGTGATGTATAAGTTTCTGTTACGTTTTCATTTGAAGTTAAAACTAATTTAAGTCCAGGCTGTGTGTTGGATTTTTTTTCCCAGGAAATATTATATATTTCCTGGAAAAAAAATAGTTCTAATAAAATACTTTTATTTTATTCTGGATACTTATTAAGTATCAAAAATACTTTTGATACTTTACTCTTCTCCAAATATATACCTAAAAACTATTATGAATGCTAAGAATTGAGTGTGTGTGTCTGTGTATGAAATGTGAAGCACATGTCTTGAAGTAGGAGAGCCAGTTTGATCTAGTAGTTAAGGCCACAAGCTAGAAATCAGGAGACTGGGAGTTCTAGTCCTGCCTTAGGCATGAAAGCCGGCTGGGTGACTTTGGGCCAGTCACTCTCTCTCAGCCCAACTTACCTCACAGAGTTGTTGTTGCAGAGAAAATAGGAGGAGGAAAGATTATTAGGGTATGTTCACCACCTTGAGTTATTTATAAAAATAAGGTGGGATAAAGAATCTAAAAAAAAAAGTAGGTATTTTGGCTTCTTCCTATTTCAAATAAATGTGATAAGGATTAATTCAAACAATAAAAAAAAGTATATATGAACACTTGAAATACTTGAAGGTAGTTAGCCAGCCTCTACATACAGTGCTTTCACAATGGCTAGGATCTCATACTGTGCCAAACCACAGTGGCCTGCTTGCATATAATTGAAACAAACTGTCTTATAAATTATTATGGATGGCTTTGTAGATTATGTTTTAATGTTATGATGTGCAATCCCAGTCCATATCAGGAGAAGTCTCTGGAATTGCATTGTAACAAATGTAAGTAGATTTGACCAGGGTGTGAATTGCTATTGGAAGGGTTTTTTTTCTCTGATTGGTTAAGGAATAAAATTATAGCAGAGTATGTAGAGAGTTTGAATGGGAGAAAGTATTAGAAAAACAAGAATAGGAATACATAGTAATAATTTGATTTTAATAATCTTGCAATAATTTGATTTTAAAAATCTTAAAAACCATATCATATACAGCAGTGCTTAAAAGTGCAAACTCACACTCACACTTGATTATCATCCCACTGACTGAAACTCCAAACTCTAATTTCCTCTTCAAATGAACTGAAATCCTAGAGGTTCACATACTTTTGCCACGCACTAATATGTAGCTTTGGATCATTTTCCTCAATAGATAAATGAACAAGTTTTTGAATCATTTATTTCATTGGGTTCTCTTTAGTTTTAGGACTAGTGTGGAAAACAGATCATGTTTTAGGTAAAATTTATGCAGAAATATTGAAAATTCAAAAGGGCTCACAACTTTCAAGCACCACTGTACTTTTATTTTGTTACTAAGATCTGGACATATTTTTTTCAATTATTTCAAGGTCCATGATCATAACAGAATGTTTAGCTAATATGTAAGACAAATAGCATGTAAATAAAAATTAATAATATATTTATTAATTTAAAATCAAGATATATCTTCAGTTGATGCCATTGTTTTTTAACTTCACAGTGTCTAGTCATATGGCTTTTTCCAACAATATTTGCAACAGTTGGATTATATAAATCTAATGCTTGTATTAGATTCTTCATGTACTATAGTGTTAGAAAATTGGTACAGACACTGGTACACCAAATGCCAAACTAAATCTACACCCATACTTTTGTAGAATCAGCTCTTCTTGAATTTATTTTGCAGTTTGTTTGGCCTTTCAGTTGACTGAGAACTGCACAGGAATATTCTTATACTTTAGCATTGCTCCCATTTGTTTCAATGGGAATAAAGTAGAATGTTAAACCCATTCAAGCATGATCCTTAATACAAGTTGCTTGATTGTATCTTAAATTATCCAGTTTATTTAGGATGTTGATACCATTCAAGTACCCAGAGGATCAAGACTGAAATAGAGTGCAGTTTTTTGTTACACAGAAAGGAGAACTTAGGCAAATCCCTATTTGTTTATCTCTACAATGTAAAGAAACTTCACCTGTTGGAATTTTTCATTTTAATCAATTTCTGATGTTAAAAGCACCTTCCCACACACACACCTAGTCTGCACTTTAGGGCAATTACTAGTTTAATTCTACTAAATTCTACCTGTTTTTGTTATACATGAATAGGTTGAACTATTTTATTTTCTGAATAACAGTAAGAGTCGTTGAGAACAAAAAGGACTTTCTTTTTATTTCAGGTATAAAATATCACTGTTAGCAATACAATTTGATCCTTTTTGAATTGATGCATCTTCTCAATCCCACTTGAAATGAAATAGAATCTGGCCTGTTTTTCCTTTCAGCACTGCAACAATGGAAGAGTCTGTATCTGTCCTTAACTCAGAGCAGCCTTATCTTTTTGAGCTCTTTAGCTGGATTGTTGGCCTAAATTAGCCATTTTAACTGCGGCAAGGGCTCTGAAAAATCAGAAGCACTTAAATACTATATTAAATTACTTCAGGATAAAATCCTTAAAATTGTTAATAATCTAGCTAAGTCTTCTACTCTGTTTTTATAATTTATACCTTATCTTTACAGTTTATATTGTCTTTTAAGTTATACATTATTCTCATATATATACATGCAGTCTCCCAATTAATACCCAAATCTTGTCCCCCTTTCCCCCCGTACTCTACTAGAAGTCAGGTAAGCTGGTGTTCGCAATCCATTTTAGATTTAAGCTTCAGCCAGCATCTCCAACTGCACAGTTCTGGAAATGTATCCAAAATAGCTTATCAACTGGTCTCATAAGATAAAATTTCACCATACAATATATTTAGCCACTTGCACAATTCAGGTACTTCTGGAAGGCAAACGTGTGTTAATCATTCTTAGATAAAGTACATCAAAAGGGAAGGAGGTGATTCTTTTTCTTCATAATAAAAGATGGGACAAGATAGGAGTACCCAATGCATAGGCTCCTCACTAAGCTGCATGAATTCCAATATGAATGACAAAAAGTAGCAATAAAACAATATTCTGGCTTTCTTTGCTGTTTTTTCACAGAAAGGTAGGAAATATTTAGAAGAACTTTGGAGTGATGTTACGGTAACATAAGAATTAGTGCTGCAAGCATTCTATTAGTCACAAAACTGCAAAGCTTAAAAGAAGGCTTATCTACCAGACAAATAAGGTCTGTGTGCCTGTGTCTGCCTGCGAATCAGAGAAAGCAATAGAAAGATCAATTATCTATGCAGTATTTGCCACCTTACCATATAAAGGGTCACTTAAAAAGTCTTTTTGATGAAGGTCTTGATCCAGCAATGAAATATATGAGACGGATTCTAAAGAGCATTTGCAAAACTATTCCTGCAGGATTGATCCTAGAGTGCATTCATAAATAATTCTCCAGGCTCTACTGACATACTTTGCTAGTTCTTAATACGTTGGGAGTAGCATCAGATTTAGAGAGTCCTGGATTTTCCTTTATTTTTAAAAATGATTTGGAAATTGCCTAGGAGGAGATCATTTATATTTATATTCTATTAATTCAGGATATGCATAGCAGCTTTGCTTTTAAAATACCCACAAGGTCTGGGACAATGAAATATTCATGTATTGATTTAGACATCTGGTTTTAAAGAGAATACTGAGATTTCATTCCATTTACTGCCTTGATCTGGTGCT